ATATATATATATATATATATATATATATATATATATATATATATGTAGATATGTATTTACAGCAATTTTCTGTATGTCTAATACTTCATAAAAGAGATGTGCTTTAAAAAGAGGAAATGGAAAAAGAAAGAGAGAGAAAAAGTCTAGCCAATGTCACACAGGTGCCATCTGCTTTATTCCCTTGCTGTGCCAAGGGTAGATCCAGGGCTTTGTGCCCTTTGGTTGAGCTCTCTCCCAGTGAGCAAGGCCTTGGCCCTTGTGTGTGTGTTGTGTTGTGTGTGTGTGTGTGTGTGTGAGAGAGAGAGAGAGAGAGAGAGAGAGAGAGAGAGAGAGGCAGAGGCACCAGTGGCCTATGAGGAGCCTACTCTTGTGCAGCAGCAGCTGCTTGGCCCTCTTTCTCACTTTTTCATAGTCCCCAAGGAAACTGCCCGTACTTCAGTGTCTTCCTGAAAGAGGAAAAGCTGGGGTCCCCCATAGAGCTTCTTGCACTGGCCGCCAGCTTTCTTACCTCTAGATAGTTGGGGCTACCAGATTTCAGTTTTGTAAATGCAAATTACTTTTGAAAGAGTGAAGTGTTACCTGTCATTTGTACATAGAAATAAACTCATCCAACCAGCTTATTTCCTCTAAATGCACCTGACCGTGACCAGACTGGAAGGAAAGTGAATCTGAGAAAAGTGCTGCAAGGCCTAGGTTTGTGGCCTGAGGGTAGGGAACATGGGAGGGAACTGAGCTGAGCTGAGCAAGAATCCCAAAACCGTACTTAGGGCAGCAAGAAGATTAGGTGAAAGCCAAGGGGTGAAGCTGTGGCTGGCCAAAATTTCATTCACCCGAAATCCAAGGGAAAACTCATCACTAATCCTCCCCCCCACCTATCTGGCCTCATGTGTTCATTCTTTCACTGTTTCAACAGACACAGCATCTGTGCAGAGCAAGCACGATTAGACAGAGCCCTGCCCACGCAGGCATTCCAGATGAGTCTCAGCTTTGTACCCATGCTGACAGGATCCCTCAGAATACCCAGCCTCTCCACACACAGGAGCCAGCTGAGCTGCTGCTTGGCTCAGGTGGAGCTCCCTGCTGGATGCCGCCCTCCCTCCTGGACGCCTGGGTCTGGCCAGCCCAGCCAGGATGCCAGTGTCGTCTCAGTGTCTCTACCCACTCTCCTCTCTTCTTGGGTCTCTCACGTGGCCTCACGAATCAGCATGAGGCACACAGTGACTCTACTTTCCAGTTGTTGCCAAGAAGAAATAAAGCAAGTTCACATAAGCATGTACGTATGCTTATGCCTGGAGGCAATGCCGTTCTCCACCTTCCTCAGAGGAGCTTCTCCTCCCAGGAAAAGGTAGTCAATGAGAGACTTGCAGATGCACAAGATGCTGAGAATAAGTCATGGGTGCATGCTCACCCTAATCAAGACATCATTCCACCCTCCCAGACTCAGGGAACACTTTAGAAAAGGGAACGGAATGAGCGTAAATGCCAGAAGGTAGGAAGAAAGGCTGTAATTGCTGTCTTCTGGGCAAGACAACCATCGCAACCACAAACTCCCAGCACAATGCCTGGTCCAGGTCCACTGTCATTTCAAGAGTTGGCAAGTAAGTCCATATTAAACAAACAAACAAAACCCTGACATGCATGAAATAACCCTGAGGCCACCTTCGGCATGATGGCCTCCAGCTTGCCTCCCAGTCTTCCCCCTGCTCACTTGCCCCACCAAGATCACTCAGTAGCAGTTATGACTGACACAGGGTACTTGCTGTGTGCCTCCCACGGCTCCCCGTGCTCCACACAGCCTCACCTATTTAACCCCAACCACCCTGCAGTAACCCCCACATCACATGGAAGCAAGGAGGCACGGGGGCCTAAAGTGGGCTGCTCAGCTAGTGAGGGGGAAAGCCGTGACAGGCACCCAGACCACCATCCAGCGGGTCCTCAGGCTGTTCCCCCGAGCCTAGGCTCTGTAAGCCCAGTTTACCTGGAACACTCGGGATTATTACAGATGGACAGGGGTTCTTTACAGAGAGGCCTCTGACTTGTATGGAAACCCATTCCATGAGCAAACAAATGACAGGTAAGTTTGTCTCTAAAAAGCACATATGGACCCTCAGGCACAGAGCAGACTGCTTTGTTGGGTTGGGAGACCTTTCCTTTAGTGTTTTTCTCATTAATAATTCAAGGAGAAAAAACTTTGTATGTCCAGAGTATGTAGGGAAAACTGGTGATATAAAGTCATTTCAATGTCAACTATTAATGAGATTAGAGCTGTGACTGCCTAATGCATTAATTCAGAGGGAAAATTATCAACTCATAATAGAGTCTTACTAGGACTCAGAAGTTAGGATGATAAAATGTCACAGAACTGTATTTTAAAAATAGCTCATTCCTTCCTGATAGTTCTGCACTAAATATGCCACACTGAGCACAATTACTTTTCTCTGCAGGACATAATTAACAGCCTCCATGATTAGTTTCACAAATGCTTGGACACTGCTTCAATCTCCATTCTGAAAGGTTCTATGCTAAAGATAGAGCCCCATTTTAATTCTATTAGTGTTTATAAAAATCCATCTGAAGGAATGCCCTCTAATTAAGAATCCATGGTATATTTAATTTCATGGCTATTTTACCCCCTTTAAGGCTACCAGATGGCAAGACCACAAACCTGAAAAAAAAAAAAAAAGGAGAAAAAGGATTTTCCAAATTTCCTGAATGTTAAAAATAATTTGCTCAAATGCATACAAAACCAAGAGAGTATGAGGAAGGAGGAAAAGGAGCATTTGTAGATCAGCCTGACTAAGTCCCAGCTGACTTCTGCCTCAGAAAACATAACAGCCTTTTGTAGGCGATGTTTTAATTTTCCTCCATGAAGGCACAGCAAACAAATAATGAACCTGGGCATGATCCAGGTGCTGCCAGCTTAGTCGCTATCTCCTAACCCTATCTCTATCACTGTCTGGTCTAATCTTGAGCTAGCTACAACAGTTCAGGAGTATAATTTGATGGAGACAGAACTATACAGGCAGAACTATCATAATGGATGATGTCACGATGGAAATACAGACCTGCAGAAATCCACCTCATTTTGTTTGTGCTATTTGTCAGGCTTGCTTTAACACACATGCTCATGATTTTGCTTCTAATTGCTAAGAAGCCCACCAAGCATTTGGAACCCAAAATAAAGATGCTTTGGTTTCATTAGGATAAAACAAGTACATCAACCTAACACAACCTCCCAGGGAAAAAGAAGCACAGATTTTGGTCCCTTCTATCCTTCTGGTTCTCATACCCGGCTTCATTCACCTTCACAAATACCGTTCACCCAACAAGCTGTCATTTGCCAACTCTTATTCCTTGATGGTCTAGACATGGTTTCAGATCCAGCCGGATCAATCCTGTCATATCCACTCTCAGCAGAAGAGAGGGAGAGGTCAGGTCCTACACCAGCAGGAAAACCCCACCCGATTGCTGGTCTTGTGCTAAGCCCACAGTAGCTGAAGGAAAGCACACTGGGCAGTCAGTGAACACAGGCAGAATTCCTCATTAGACTGTAGCCTGAAGACCACCTATGCTGGCTCGCTATGAGGTCAATTCATATTTGAGAGGGTGAATTAATTTATCTTTTTCTTTATGCTTTTTCTGTATTTTCTAAAATTTCAATATTAAACACATAATAAAATTATGTGATAGCAAAACAATAATTTTAATTATTTGTATTGTTTTCTTTGGGATGCCAAACCACTCATAAGCTTAATACAGGAACAAATAAGGGCTCTATATATCCATCCATCCATCCATCCATCCATCTATGTTTGCCAATATGCGCCTTTGAAAAGGTAGTTAACATTACCACTCCTTCTCAGTTTATACCTACTTCATCTTTAGCATACTACATCCTAATTTTTTTAAGGTCATCATTTTTAGGAATAATTACTATACATGTGCTCAGCAGATGTAGCTCTCCAAATTCTAAGAGGAGAAATTGAACTTTAGGATATTTTCAAGACAAAGCAGAATCATCCAAGTTTTACATAGAAAGTGAGTTTTCAGTCACGCATATGCGGACTTTCCAGAGGCAGGACAGGCCCCTTTTCCAGTCCCTTCAATCTCTAATACACTGATGTGATTTTTTCTTCCCATCTCGCTGCCTAAGCCTTGCTCTGCTGCCAGCCACAGAACAAAAGGGTAGTGGAGAACTCACGTCCTTCAGGGGAACCAGTTTCATCGCTGTTTGGTAGAGCGGGGTGAGAGTGGCCGGGTAGTTGTAATCCACAACGTCGTGTTTATAATCAGCCTTGTAGGCAACCTGAAACCCGAAGACAGGAGAGATCAGCTCTCGCTTTCCCCTGACCCAATCTGAAACCCGAAGACAGGAGAAATCAGCTCCCGCTTTCCCCTGACCTTTTCTGAATGTCATATTTTTAAATAACTAGAAACAAAATTAATTCACTTTCATCACCTCAAAAGAAAATTAAGTTATGTTCACACTTTTGCCTTTAACTAATTTGAATTATTCTTAATTACTCCAAAATCAGTCAACTTCCATCTGTCGTACACTTATTTTATTTTTGTCTTTAATTATAAGACCTCTCATTTTTGTTTAAAATGAACACTTACGTACAGGTATATAATGAAAGTGTTTCTGGGCAAACTTCAAGACCATGGATAAAAAGTTAAAAACCTCAGAGTGTTTTAGTTATCTTTTTTACGGCCAACATCAGCATCCTTGGGAAGAAGAAAACCAACATTTGGATGTTTTGAATGTGAAACCACCTTCTTCAAGTGCTCATTGCTGCCAAGATTTAGAATCTGGTATGTGCATATCTGTGATCTAGACCGGTGAAGCCAGAGAGAGGTCAGGAGTTTCCATGGCATCTCTGATGAATAGTTATACCCATCACCTTAACTATTGTATGGTCATAGCACGTTTTCAGTGACTGAAAACAAAGTTACCCCTAACTGAACCGCTCTCATTCACAGAGGCTTTGAAATCCCACAGCATTTCAAATAGGCGCCATTTTACCTCATTGCTTAGAAAGTAGAGCATTTTATTACACTGGATCAGTTATAACAGATCCTTCAAGCCAAAGAAAGCTAACCAAGGCTGTCGGGACCTCTCACATTCCTTACTGTATTTATTGACATTTAAAGATTTGTGGGCGTCTGTTTTTACATATCAAAATATGTAAATGTGGGGGTTAAAAATGATTGGCCAGACTCTTCCCGTTGCAGCCCGCTCGTTCCCATTGTCCCTCAAACACCACTCACACTGCTGGCCAGGCTGCCGACTCTCAGAGCGTGGAGCATGCGTCGGTCCATGCCGACGCCTTCATAGTGGCCTCTCAGGTGGGTCTCATAGTTCTCTTTATATTTATTCTACAAGGAAACATTCAACTTTTGGTGAAATTTCCCCAACCAGTTGTATTTATTTTAATTGTCTAAGTCTAAAAAAACTGGAAAGAAAACTTTTTTTATATACAACTTAAATTTCAAAAGAGCATTTGATGAATTTGACGAAAGACAGGCAGGCAAGCACACAGATAAGTGTCATGGGGTGCACCAGGCAGACTGGGTGTGTTTGTTCATTTTTATATGTTTAGTTTTAAATTTACCAGACTGTTCCAGTGTGGAAATGTACCATGAGAGTATGGAGCTGGCAGTGGACAACCAGTGGACAAGGCCCAGTTGTGTGGTTCTGGTCCACAAGCCAAGTGTTTACATGTTACTGCCTCCTTGTGAAAATGCTGTCAGCCCTCCGTATCCATAGCATCTACTTCCGTGGCCTCAACTAACCACAGACTAAAGATATTTGAAAAGAGAGTTGTAGCTATCTGTACTAACCACGTGTAGGCTTTTCTCTTAGTTTGTCCTTTTATTATTTATGTACCATTTTTGATGCAGTGGGTGTTATAAGTAATCTGGAAAAGAGCTGAAGTCTATGTGAAGGCTACGCTTCGTGCTACATCATTTTATATAAGGAACTTGGTATCTGAGTATTGTAGCATCTAGTAAGAGGTCCTGAACCAATCCCCCGTGGGTCCTGAGGGATGACTATACACAAAGAATAGAATTTGATCCTGGTCAAGTTTTATGATGTAAAAATTGGTCACTGTGGCAACCACGTAGAAAAATGAGTCCTGTCCTAAATGCTGTTTATCAAATAAAAGGAAAATCAAAATGGAATGAGTACATCTTCAAACCTTCCCCGAGAAAATCCATATTTGTAAGTGATGCTCTGGCGAACAACTGGTCACATGCAAATCGGGGAAACTGCATCTGCTCGGAGGCTAACTGTGGAGGTTAAGTGAGTGCACATCTCAATTCAGAAGCACAAAGTCACAGTGAGGAGACAGCTCATGCTCTCTGAGGCTTCCATGCTAGCATCCAGCACCAGGAACAACCGCGGTGCCACACAGATAGCACGGACAAACAGCCCTGCCTTGAGGCTCGGTCACTACAGCCAAGCAGGGGAACACTGGGGTTGTGACATTATCTGGGGTAAGCAGAGTAATCCCACAAGACACTCTGAACCAATTACTGGATAACCAGTGTACCATGCACCCGAGAGGCCATGCTTCTCCAACACAAGAGGACATGGTCACAAAGTACATCTCTTGGGAGGCCCGGAAGCTCAACTCACAAGACGTGCTCAGGCAGACGCTGAACCTATAACTCACATCACTGGTGAATTTGGAGATCTTGCTCACATTCCTGAACTGGGGTGTCTCACAGTAGTTGATACTGTGGCTTTTGCTCTTTTCCAGATCCTTCTTATACTCCACCTTGAAATCCCAAACACCGGGCGCTTAATGGAGCCAAACCTTAGGTCATTCTTGAAAACATCCCAGGACTTGACTGAGTCAAGTCAATCCAAGATTTAAAGTAGGGTAGAGGGTACTGAAAGTGTGTGTGTGTGTGTGTGTGTGTGTGTGTGTGTATGCATGTGTGTGTGTGTCCCTTTATAAAAATAAATAATAAAGTAATGTATGTCATTCTGAAAATTACAAATACATAGTCCTTCTCAATAACAGGTATTGTAATGCTTCACACAGATCAAGAACTATAAAACAGGTTGGGGTGTAACTCAGTGACATGGAATCTCCCCAATATGGTGTCCTTCAGCCTCAAATAATAATAATGATGGTGGCAAACATGATTTCAGAAGTGGTGTGGGTACTCTTGGCGCAAAGTGTTGGGTGTTTATGTGACACCCAGACTAGCCATGTGAGAGCCCACTACGTAGATAAGTCCCCTTGAGAAACTCCTCTCAGTGAAGACCCGAATACATGGCTCTCTGTGAACACATCAAGAAAATTTAACAGAAAAGCTTTACAAAAGGATATCATAAAGGAGCCTGCTCCGAGGCAGACCATCTTTAATTTAAAATAAGCTCTCCAGGTACCTGGGTGCAGGATGTGAGGCTATTGTTATCAAATAGACTATGTCAGTCCCAGGGAATTGCAGAAAGCAGCTAATGGTGAGTACCACAAAGAGAGACGGAGCTGGCACCTCTTCCTGGACAATCATAAGAGCAAAATGAAGTAGGAAGTGCCCTTGGGATCACCCGCCAAAGGACAGAAATTGTTACAGTGTTTGATAAAACTATGTGGTGGAGCTGTGCCTTTTAAAGTATGCAAGGTGCACTTTCATGCTGATAATATGATATAGTTAAAAATGCAAAACTGTGGATGTACGTGAATCCTAACTCTAGAGAGATTTCCTTAACTTAAAGTGGAGGCTGGAGAAACAGTTCAGTGTTAAGAGGAGATGCTATTTCAGAGGTCCTGGGTTCAGTTCCCAGCACCCACGTGGAGGATCTCCAGCCCCTGAGAGATCCAATGCACCCACTCAAAGGTCTTCAAGGACTGAACAACAGTGCAGATGACAGGAGCCACTATGAAGTAACACCAGCGCTCCAGCAAGCTCAAGGACATACATTCCTGCCAACTAGTCCAGGTTCAGAAAGGCTCAAACATGGGTGGTTCAAACAATGTGCGCGCTCCAGCAGCCAGGCCAGCCCGGAAGGAGCAGGGAATGCATGTGGCAGACACAGCTTCTCTGCACGCCAGTGAAAAGAGACACACAGCACTGGAATAGCCTAGACTTTGATCCACACTAATATAACAAATTATGGTCTTAAAAGTTGGAGCATAGGGGCAAGAGAGATGGCTCACAGGTTAACAGTGTTTGCTGCTCTTCCAGAGGACCTGAGTTTGTTTTTCAAGGTGAACAGCTCAAAACTGCCTATAGCTCCAGCTCCAGGGGAATATGGCACCCTCTTCTGGCCTCTGACGGTACCTGCACTCGGATGTGTACACATACACGTACACACACACACACACACACACACACACACGGAATTAAAAAACAAACAAACAAATCTCTCAAAGTTGCATTATCCAATACTCTCAGTGACAACTACAAATCTGCTGACTGGCACTTCAGAATATTTAGTAAGAAAGTTTTGATCCAACAGGGAAAATTTTAATTCGCTTGGCTCTATGTGCATTTTTGGAGACTGGTAAATGAGGACAGTATGTGTGGTTCCAGTCTGCTTGTTTTGAGGCAGGGTCTCACACAGCACAGGCCAGCTTCCAACTCACCACATAGCTGTGAACTCCTGATCCTCCTCCCTCACCTGTCAAGAAAGTGCCAGAGCTATAGGCACAAGCCACCACCACCTGCATCATTTGTAAACGGCCACTGCATTCACTGTCTGAGAGAAAAGAGGGGCAGTATAGGAGTATGGCTGTCCCCAACACTCACCTCACTCACAAGCTTGTTCACACTCTGAGCTTGCTTAAGAACCAAGTTGTCCTGGGCTGTGAGGGAGTGGAAATGCGCCGCGCCTTTCATCTTATGAAAGTCTTGCCTGTATTTTATCTGGAAGAAGCACACAAAGATGTCTGGAGTTGTGGATGCTACGGTAACATTAGCAACGAAATTCCCTAAAGGAAGGAAAATTCCTATGGGTTTTAAAAATCACTTATTAACTCTAGAAGCCACTTGCTTCTCTTTTGTGTTAAAACTTTTCCTGGTGCCTCCACAGTTCTCCTACTTTGTACTCTAACACAGCCTGAAGGAAGGGAGAGGCATTCTTTAGGCTCCCATCGCAGAGGGAAGGTCCAGCTCCATTGTGCCCGAAATTTCAACACCATTTCTGCTTGTCTGGCATTCCATCTCAGGGCCGAGGTGGCACTGTTCTGGGTACCTGGGTACTCACTGAAGAGAGGCAGAATGAAGAAGGGTGAAGGGGTGAAATGAGCTAGGTTCAGTCAGAGACAAAGTTCAGGTTCCGAGCTGTAGGGAGCACCACACTTGACCAAGTTTAACTACAGCTGTTTCTCAGGGACTGCCAGCTGCCTAATGTTCTTCAAATAAAAACTAGTTATCACTCACTGGGCCGCACCTAATTTGAAATCACCTGACTTCTTTCAGTGAGCTTCCCCTAAAAGTCTCAGTTTCATAATGGAGTATTAGCAAAGACTATCTCTTCGTCCCCGTTTGTCTGCTTGCACCAGCATTTATACATTTATCAAATGATCTAAATGAGCAGATAAATGTAATCAAATTTTATGAACAGATCAAGAGGACACCCTGAGTTTGGACCCAGGTACTAACAGATGTGTTTGAGTGTGGCTTTCAGAAAGTGCAGCCATCAGCACCTTTAACCCACTCCTCAGAGGCTCTGCCAGTACTTACGTCACTAGCAAGCTCATTGGCCTTCTTGGCATTCTGATAAGCTGGGGTGATCATGGCCGGGAAGCTGCCCTTTCCCCTGGGTTCATCACACTCTTCTGAGTAAACCTGATGAGTCAATCAAAAACTTTGATCAGAAATGTGTTCCTGCTGGCATGGTGGGGTCAGCAGTAACAGTTCCAAAGACTGCTTTCAGAAAAGCTCCTTCACAGTGGACATTCCAACGACTCCCAGAGATGTACTGCATGGTGAATGAGATCTTAGACCCTGGAGCCTGGACCACTATATACATACATACATACATTCATACACATACATACACACGCACACATACATACTTACACACACATACATATTTATACACATACATACATACATCCACACACACACATACACACATCTGTTGCCATCATCCTCATCAATCATCACAACATCGGATAAGCCAAGAGCCTTGCCCACTTCCAGGCTGTTATGTTTGAGCTCAGGCCAGGGAAGTGCCCGTTAGTCTCAACTATTACTTTGCTTAGACCCAGTGGCAGATTTACACAGAAGGGTGTTTGACATCTCTGATGCTGTTCCCCAGAAATCAGGTAGAATAAATCCTTCTGTAACTCTGTGAAGAGGAACTGCGTGTTGCTGTCAGTCTCTGAAATGGGGTAAATATGTATTGGAAAATAAGGATCATCACTCTCGTCTTCATTTTTCCTTTCCTTCCCTGACACCACTCTCCCATAAAGAAAAACCTTTCACAAAACCAGCATCCTGTGACTGAGAGGGGACACCCTAAATGGAGTTACTTGAGCCTTCTTGCTGAAGTACAGAGTCCTCCCTCTCCCAGATCTGCCCTGGGCAGAGAGAGGCAGCTACTTCCTCCTCTGCACCCCACCCAGGGAGCTCCTGGGGTCACACACTCTCCTCTGAAAGACAACTTACCTTCAAGAGAACCATGAGGGACTCTAGCACAAACATTTTCCCAAGTAAAATACCTGGATCAAATTTAAGTGGCCAGCCCCTTTTTACCATCAAAATGAAATCTGATGAGCTTGAGCTTTTTTTTGCTTGGCTGCCAGAATGTTTTGAGTCAAACATAATAAGTGGAAAAGAAAAAGGTAAGTTCAGAGGAGGGACAAGGATCTAAGTTTATTGTTGTTTGGTTTGGGTGTGGCCTCTGTGGTTTTTGTTTTCTGCTCTCTAGTCTTGTGTTGGTAACATTATTTTAAAGTGTGTGTGTGTGTGTGTGTGTGTGTGTGTGTGTGTGTGTTAGGTACTGACTTCTACTGGGGAATTGCTTGGTTCTGAATAACAAATTTATTGCGTCGTATAGTTTTTGTGGGTGTAGCTAGTCATTAGCAAGAACGAGCTGTGTGGCATGGCACTTAAGGCACCACAGATATTTATAGTTGATCTGCCTGCCTGCCTCTAACTCTGTCCTGCTCGTGCCTGACAAGACATTTGCTACATCAAACACCAAAATGCCAGGCTGCACCGAGTTCCCTCCATGGCCACTAACGGTGCCTCTCCCACCACCAACGGCAATTGGTTAATTTAGCCCTCCTTCCTGTTTGGCTGCCAGAATGCTCTGAGTCAAACATAAGTAATGAAAAAGGTTTAAGATGGGGAAAAGTTCTAAGATTCGCTGATAATGGGCTTTGTGGTTTTCCAAATGTGCATGAACACAAATAAAACTATATGTGTGTTATAACCACCGGTGGGTAAGATGGTGAAAACACATACTGGGTTTTTTTCCAAATATAAAAGCAAGATTTTTTTGGTTTGTTTGCTTGTTTGTTTGTTGAGACACAATCTCACTATGTAGCCCAGCCTAGACTGTAGCTCACTATGTTTTCCGGGCTTGAATTCCTGACAATCCTCCTGGTTCAACCTCCCAAGTTGTAGGATTACAGATGCAAGCCATCACTCTTAGCTCCAGCAAGGTGTATTTTTAATTAATAAAATTGATTCATAGAAGTTTTTCTGAGTTTTCTAAACTATGAGATAAGAGCATATTTCACTGAGTTTAAAACAAGGTGACTATAGTTTGCTTGTATGATCTGATTAATCTGCCTTTTAAATTTGAAATTAAGCGTTCCTTGCTTAGGCCAATATTTTTGCCAAGGGGTCAAAACCCATCTTCATATACATCCCAAAGTCACGTGGGCATATGGCCACCCATGGTGATGTGGCTTTCCTGAAGAGGAGAAATCAGTTCTGTGTGGTTTGCTATATAGTTCATGCCTGCTGCCAAATAATTAAGAAAATATCACTTAACCTCACTGAATGTATCATTAACACACATATGCACACAGGCACACACACAAGCACACAGTATTCTTCTACTGTGACTCCAGCAATAGTGCTTCCTTTATCTCCTGATGACTTTCAGCTACCGAGTTACACCGGGAATGTGAGAGCATGAGTCCCGCTGAGTCTGTTATCTTGCCCTTTCTACTCCCTGACCTGACATTGTCGCTTTGAGAAACCAAACGGGGAGCAAGGCTTGTGCTTTCTAGAATATAGCACTTTATCTAGCAAACTCAGTGAAATATTTACTTCCTAAGGAAGTAATTTCTGTTACTGCATGTGGCAATGCCCAGCTTTGTTCCCCCTTTTTTTAGGGTGCTGGTGGGAGTTAAACTGAAGTCTCCTACTTACACCGTAAGCATTCTCACCCACTAAGCCGGCTCCCCAGCCCCTCAATGTTCACACAGTGATGAACAAAAGCACAACCAGTCTGGTTCCTTGTAACAGCCCTTCAGTGAACAGATGAACATGCCTTGTGATTGCCAAACCAGCACCCTGCACAGGTTCAATCTTTCTTCCTGTTTCTAAGGCTCCTGGGATTTGTCACCCAAGCAGACTGAGTTGAGCTCTGCACAGTGTTTGGACCCAAGCCCAAACCCTGACCGTATGTCCACAGCTGACTCAGCTGGAGGGAACAAACAGAACTGGCCTGGAGAAGACCACTCCCAGAAGCATCACGTACCTGGCCGTGTTGGCCTATGCGTTCCTTTGCCGTGATGCCCTCTGCTCCGACAGGACTAGCCAGCCCCTTCATTTCTCTTTGATATTGTTGGTGGTACCTCACCTGTTCGGAGAGTCAGGAAGAACTCAGTGAGTCCCAATACAAGAGCCACTAGAATAGAAATAAATGCTTCACGGAGTTTTCTATCTCTGCTTGGGTCTAAGGAGTACGAGTCATGAAGTGGCAAGTCAATGTCACAGGGAAAATGATTGACAACTATGAGGAAAAGGTGCCTCTTGGCCTTGGCGAGCATATAAGAACAGAGAGTAAGATGGACTTCCTGACCCGTGTTAACGCCCTGCTTCCCCAGGCCTGACAGTACAGGCACTTACATCACTCGCCAGCTCGTTGGCTCTCTTGGCGATCTGATAGGCAGGTGTGATCATAGCAGGAAAACTGCCTTTCCCTCTCTGCTGAGCATGGTCTTCTGTGGACCTCACCTAGAGAATGGAAAAGAAGAAAACAAGTGAACGACCTTCTGCCGTCCTCGTAGACAGTCTGAGAGAGGAGCCCTGAAGAGCTCCACGGACCCCTGCCTATCACTGTGGACCGCTCTTAATGTGTGCGACAGCTTACAGCATGGCGACCACATTCTCCTCGTCCGCCTGTTCACTCCCAGTGCCCGGCATGACGCCTGCCTCATGAAGACACACAACGTGGGGTTCAGCACATGTGCGCTCTGGGCCGTGGGGCTGGGCAGAGGGGTCAGTTGAAGGGCTGATGTTGAGTTTGGGGGATGGAGTGGACATCTCAGCCACAGACCCCAGCCAGGGCGTGTGGAGACCACTTCACAGTGGTCTATGCACCAGCTTTCTGTCTGGAACCACACTTGGCTCTGGGACCGAGCTCGCCATGGACCATCTGGGCCAAGAGAGGGGAGTGGTGGCACATGTTCAGAAGTCTGACAGCACCCTCTCAGCTCTGCAGTGGCCGAGAGGCTTCACATCTGAGGACCCTGGCTTGCTACAAATGCAATCTAATGACTTCAGTTCAAAGAGTTCTCACAAGGCCTGTAGGGCTGACTTATGGCTATGACCTCAGAAACTCCTTCCTGGTGCCTGGGCAGGACCAGGTTTCTTCTTCCATTCTTCCTCCTCTCTCCTCCAGATGATAGAAAAAGAGGGAGGGAGGCAGATCCTGAGTAAGGATCACCATGCATTAGACTGTGCATGTGTGTGTGGCACACATGTACATGTGCATGCGTGTTCACCTGAAGCTGAGCACTCACGTGTGCAGGCTCATTTGCATATACGTGAGCCTACACAGGGAGGCCTGAAGTTGACCTTTGGTGTCTTCCTGGGTAGCTCTCCACCTTGAGCACTGAGGCGGGGTCTGCCACTTGACACAGAGCTCTCTGCTTCCGGCTGCTCTAGCTAGCCAGCTTGAGCCAGGAGCTGCCGTCTCCACCTTCCAAGGCCTGGCACTGCAGGCAGGGCATCACGCATGTCTGCTTTTTGTGTCATGGGGACCTGAACTCTGAGGCTTGTGTGGCCAAGGCTTTGTGCACGGGTCTGTCTCCCTGGCCCTCCGGCCTCATTTCTTACATCGCTCTGGAGCTTGTCCCCAGCCTTTGCCCGTAGCAGCTCAGCAGTGTCTGTCACCGGGGTGAACGTGGAGACGCGCTCATCATGGCCTCTCTTGTATTGCACCTGATAAGGAGAAACTGAGTCAAAGCCATGCCAGGCCTACATGAGGCCTCCAGAGGACCCTGCCTTACAGCGCTCTAGAAGCTACATCTCCGGGCAGCAAAACAAACCTGTTCCAAGCCTGTGCTCACAGATACTCATCTTCACCAATGAACCAACTTACAGAGTAAGCACATGCTTCCAGCTGTCACCTAATAGGAACTCATGTGAGCATCCAGCAGTAACAACCAGGATAGCTATTATTACCACAAATGAGAATCTAAGGAAAAGTAATTTGGACAGAACTATACAGAGAATGTTTGAGAGAGCCAGGATTCAAATCCTAAGTTTCTGTCTCTAAAACCTGAGCCCTTAACCCACAAGCAACACGGTTCTCCAGGCAGACGGATCTAAGAAAAACCAGCAACCCGGAGAAACATTCATTTTAGTCACTGGGTAAGTTACGGGGTCACTTCATCTTCCCTTTTCTACCTTTTGTGAATGCAGCCCAATCAAGGCACACAAGACACATGGTAGGAAAACACGGTTTTCCCCACAAGCCTATGAAACATTCCTCATGTGTTTTCCTGAATTGCAGATCTGGCTGTATTCATGTCAAAAGTTTGCAGCATTGAGGCTAGAGCTGAACTCAGGGGCCCTCACCTGGCTGGCCAGCTGGTTGGCTGTCTTAGCCCTTTGGTAGGCAGGTGTGATCATGGCCGGGAAGCTCCCCTTGCCTTGCTGTTGTTCACTGTCTTCTGTGTACCCCTGCTGGTCAGAAACACAGCAGCATGAGAACAGACGGAAAGTCACAAAAGTGCAATAAAGGCCGTGACATAGGACCGTTCTGTTCAGGGGAAATGCATCAGTTTCTGGGATAAGTCTGAACGTGGCGCTTGACTAACACCACCAAGACTAAGGAACTCCAGTGTTTATGTCCCATAATGAGGGGCCTGGCAAGGTTCCCTCAGGTGGCCTTGTATCATAACACAGCCACTAATCCAAACAGTTCTGCTTGGAACAGTTCTGCAACCCAGGAAAGAAATGTCTTTCCTCCTCCTTACTTTCTGAGCATCTCTGAGGGTTAACGTTTCTAATGAGAAAAATGCTTTCTAGTGCTGTTTTCTAACAGTTTCTAACAAAACTAACAATAGTTGGACAGTGGTGGCACATGCCTTTAATCCCAGCATTTGGAAGGCAGAGGCAGGAGGATTTCTGAGTTTGAAGCCAGCCTGGGCTACAAAGTAAGTTCTCAGACAGCTGGGGCTACACAGAGAAAGCCTGTCTTGAAGAACCAAAGCAACCCAAACAGAAAACTAACAGTGGTTTCTCAAGGTTTTTCAAAGAGGAGCTATGTACAAAAGGAGCGAGGGTAGCACCTGCAGTTTAGGATTAATTGCTGCAGCCCTGTCTACCCAGCACTGCCCAAGCATCCCCCACAGTCCTGGGAGTAAGGAGTCTAGTGAGGGCTACCAGGACTGGCTTCTTCTGGAGCAACAGGAGGAGAGTTTGTCTCCTTCCTCCCCGTCCTCTCCTTCCTTCCAGAGGCCCTGGTGTTCCTCGTTCTTGACCTGACATATCCTTGATGTCAGCTCCTGTCACTACAGTGACTTCTCTGCCTGGCCCCCATCGCTTCCTACTGGCTAGAGCGAACTTTGCAGGAGCACCCTAAGAACCCAAGTTCTTCCCATTGCTAGATCCTTAACTTACTCACACTAGACAGTCTTTGACATGTGAGGAAACTGAGTCCCACATTGGGATGTGAGAGTCTTGGGGGCAGAAGCGTTAAAACTCAACTACCCGGCTCATGCCTTGAGCAATGTTCCCTAGCTCAGCATGTGGCACTATTCTGGGGATGACTTGGAGCCTTTATAGGTGGAGCATGGCTGTCAGAAGTAGGTCAGTAGGGATCAGTCTTTGAAGATTATGTCTACCTCAGGCTCCAGCCTGAGTTCTTGTAGACACTGTGAACAAGTCACTGCGATAAGGCCCTCGGCAACCAGGAGCCAGAATAATGCCTCCCCTTCTGTTCCTGTCAGGTATTTTCACCATGATGACAGGACTAATAAGGGGGCAGGGTGCTCTGTCTACGCAATCTTAAAAATAAAGGAATATTAAAGGAATTGTTACCTACTAATTGTAAGTAGTTCACCAGGCCCTTACCTCACCAAGAGACTGCCGAGCCTCAACCATCCTTACAATCTCAGGGTCGGGCAGAGCTCCGGGACACCAAGTGTTACCCTCTCCATACCCTGGCCAGTAGTCTCTCTAGAAAGGAAGCATGAGAATCCATCCAGACACAGTCCCTGCATGCTTGGCTGTTCACCCCACAGTCCTGAAGTCTACCCACACCCCCTACAGCCCACCCCACACTCCCCAGCCCACCCCACACTCCCCAGCCCACCCCACACTCACACAGTTCACC